AACCTGAAAATACAAATACAGAAGTATGCTAAACTACAGCATAAGAGACTTATGGTTGAGTTAAGGGGAAATCTTTCTGAATAGGGGTTTTGTTAACACAAAAGAGACAAAAATCTGGGAACAACTATCAAAGGGAAGGGTGAACTATTTTTCTCCAAATGTTTTTAAAAGTGAAAACACAAATTTTTAGCAAATACTACATAGGAAAGAGATGAAGTCAGATTTAGAGATTCATTTGTTTATTGTTTCATTCAGCAAACCTAGCTCCACCCAAGTACAGGTTGCAGTGCTTGGCCTTTTAAGGTGCTGTCAATGGCACTTTTCTGAGACAAAAGGGGTTACATTCCTAGTCTGAATACTGAAGATGTGAGTTTATGATCTGATACATAAGATTTGAAATGAATAGTTGGTTTGGTGGAGAAAAAGAATAAGAAAACTAAAACAGGTACAATAAGAAATATTTCACATTCTCTTAGCCAATAAAACCCAGATAATAAATTTGGAAAACAGAACATCAAGAAGATGAAATTAAAAAAAAAAATGTTTCATACACCTTCACCTCCTTTCTCAAAGCCACCACCATCCCCTGTATACACATAATTAAAATTATAATCTTTAATCAATTTACAAGCTCCAGCAATCCTCTGAAGATTTTCCTTTTACCTCGCTTATCTTGAAAATTGGCAAGAAAAGTATTATTAGCTACAATTTATAGTTAAAAAAAAGTTGAGGCTTAGAGAGAGAAGGTTAGGTTATTAATTGCTCAAGAACAGAGACAAAAATCTAACACATCTTCTATCATCTAAAGCAGCATTTCTCTGTTTCCAGATCCACAGATTCTTACGAAGAATCTGTGTGCAAGAGTACAGGTGATTCTTAACAATGTCAAGAGATGATGGCTAATTAAACAAACAAATGAATTCTTAAATCTAACCTCTTATTTTTCCAATAGATAATTTGCTAATTCTCTTTTAAAAATAATACATTTTTTCTACAGTCCAGTCCTTTCTTCTTTAGCTTCTCTGTCGGCTTCTTTTTTTTTTTTTTTACTCTCAGCTCTGCACTTCTAAATATCTCTCCAGTTTTCTAATTCCCCAAAAAAGAGTGACACAAGATTGCTAGCTTTTAATTTTTCCAGGTAGGAAATTAAAAAGAACTAATATATCTAATAAAATATCATTTCATAAAATGGTAATTTAAAGCTAAATCAGTATGAAACATAGAGTTAGAAATACAATTAATTTTGTAAAACATTTCATTATAACTGTCTTAATTTATCTTATTTCAAATGGATAGGATAAGACTTCCCCATGGACTAATTTTGGTAACTATTATTCTTAAATACAAAAAGCAAGCCTTCAGCTTGTTTCTTCTGGTTAACAAGAGAATTTTCCTTTCCTATACGACACTTTCAGTATATCCAGGCTTAAGAGAATTTCCAACCTCATTAATTATGAATAGAGGCGGTTCAATGCTCACTACATTTCAAACTATGCATTATGATTCAATTAATGAAAACATGCATTAGATATATTGAAAATCCCTTATTTTCCCAAGAGCAACTTTAGAAATACATACATATACATAAAAACACAAACACATATACACACAAACACATACAAGACATATAGTGAAAACAGAAAATATATTTCAAAGTTGGCTATAAAGCTAAGAATAATATTGTTTGTAATTCTCAAAATGGATTGGTTTGACACAGTTACTACTCTGAATAGAAAGAGAGAATGTTGGGTGTAGAAACTAGAAAAAAATTGTATGCAGAACTTTAGTGTATGATCCCTTTATAATTTTTTGAGATATCTCACAAAACTAAATGTTTGCGAAACTCTTTAAAAGATCAGTTCTTGTTCAATGAAGTAAATATATATTTTAATATACCATTTTAGTTCAATAAAACGTGATTATGAGATCCATTTTCTAAAGATAATATTGCATAAATAGCATGTGTTGTATTGTATAAGAATCTTCAGAAGCCCCACCAGAAGCAAAACAACCTTCATAAATATACACAGGTGCAAATATAAACTATCATCATGAGGTATAAACAGCCAGCCTCAATACAGTCTGAGGTTAGCAATTATTAAATAACAAAATTGACATGAAGGTGACGGGTGAACAAATTCAAATTCAGAGTACAAAAAATATTTTTTAAATTCTTATTAAATAATATAGATTTGCTAATGAGTTAATTTAAAAATATTTCCAGGAATGAAAAGCTAAATCTAAAAGTAAATTTCTGACCAAAGGTACTAATAACCTTGAAGTTGTATTCAGGGTACAAGATTTTTATAATCTATTATGAAAATCAGTCATTACTTTACATGTTCTATATGTCTTTGTTAAACACTGGATGGACTTCAATTAATATTTACCAAATAGTCAAAAAAGGAAAAAAAAAACACCAAGTTTTGTTTGGGTAAGGGTGTTTGTCATGATTATAATTCTTCTGCAAAGAGTTGTTCATTGATGCTTCAACATCATTATTAAACTTGAATACAGAAGAATCATTAAACTCTCTAGGAATGTATGATTTGGTGGCTATTTTCCCTTAATTGTGAATCTTCCTTAAAGTCTTAGCTATGACATATATTACTACTATTATTACTACTACTACTGCTCGTTACTTCAGATACTTTCATTACACATATTTTTCTAAGTTCTTGACCTACTAGAAACAAGGAACATCAATAGCCTAAAATCATTCAAGCCTAGACGATTCATAATGGAAATTCAAGCAGTAGTCCCTAAGTGAGCATTTTCTATTTTCTTTAAAGAGAGCAAAAAGCTTTTATAGTGAGTGCACCTCTGAGCCCTGTTTATAATTTATGCACATACACAAAGGCAATGTGGAGGACTTTTTTCAGAAATGCTTTCCTTTGCCATAAATCTTTACCTTTTTATCTGTCAAAGAATATTCAAAGAGTCTCCAGTGTTCTGAAAGCCAAGAGAGGCATAAATCTTTGGATAGTGAGAAAAAACTAAGGTGGTATTTCATTTTTTATTGAGCAAATTTATGAGATGCTTTTTTTCCCCCAAAAAATACTTAAAGTTAACTTTACAGTTGTGTTCCTCTTCCAACTACTTAAAAATAACTAAAACATGTAGGTAAAAGATTTAGGTTAAAAAAAAAAAAAAAACTACACAAATACCTAAAAATTCCACATATTTATTTAAAAAGTAAAATTATTTAATAGCTGCAATCATATAAAAACAGGCTTCCATCTTTATGATGGGTATTAGAGGTAGAAGTCTTAAGCACAATATATTAGGTAACCTCACAAAAGCATTAGAGATATCATTGTTCTGTAAATTATGAAAATCCTCAAGGTATTTTACTAATGTTTTCTTTTCTTCTTGGTTATAATTCTGAAAAATTGTTCACATTCACTTTGTAATCATTTCTTAAAATCCTATAATAAGTCTTATGTCCCCCAACCCACCATCACCAACGTCTCGACTGACTGGTTATTGAGTTCAATGTGCTCTTTTCTCATCACATTTTATGCAACTTCTGGACAGCA